TGGGCGGGGTGTGTGGGGTGGGGGTGCGCTCTGCCATGAGGAAGTCCGGCTTAAAGACACGTCCCAGGGGTGTTCCTGGTACCAAAAGGTGTTTCTGGTCCCCACCTGTCGTTTTGCTCCTCCAAATTGGTTTCCTAAAAACGCTGCAGGATTTCTCAAACATGCATGAATGAGTCAGAGCAAGGGTTTGGGATGTTTTTTTTATGAGATTGTAAAATTATAACATGATATAAAACTCAAAAAAGTTGATTTTACATGATATTGCCCCTTTAAAAGCATCGGACTCATTACTTCAGTGCTGAGCAGCAGCAGCATCTACAGTTTGTGTACACACTCATTCAAATAACTCTTCTCACTTTGAAGCTTGTTTTAAATTAGCTTTAGTATCTCCTCATGTTAAAATCTTCAAACAGAAATAACCATGCCCCTCCCAGTCACCTTGCTCAGACAGCAGATTCAGGCTGATGTTCAGCAGGGCTGGAAGAAAACGAGTGGTCTGACGGCCTGCTCTTAACTCCAGTTAGACAGCTGGATGGTCCTGGTGCACCATCAATGCCTGCCTGGCTGAGGAGTGGGCTTTTCCTTGACTCCTCACTGCTGCACACCTCTCCAAACGGAGGACAAGGACTCTTGGTATTTGGGACAGCAGGCTCTATCTGACCTATTAGTCACACAAAAAAAAAATCATGTTTTTTTTCCTGTGGCTTCTGAATCCTTTTCACTAACAGTGAAGTGCTTCAAGTATTGATTACATGCAACAACCCTGCTCAACCACTAGGTGGCACTATAAGACATGATTTGTAACCAGTGAGTATTCAATGTCAAGGTTTTGTATTATCAGCATTAGCAGAAAAGTAGGTCTGGGTGAATCCTGTAATACAAGCAGATCTAGTTTGTTGCGACTCCTCTCACTTATCTGACTTTATTTAATCCTAGGCCAGGGAGGACATATCATACCCACTGAACCGAGTCAGACTGACTACTCCAAAAATAGTTTTGGTCTCCAAACACTAAGGGAACAGGACTTGCTCTACCTGAATCTAAAGGGGGTCAGTGGAGTTTACCTCTCCAGCTGTGATGTGCTGAGAGAATATGGGGTAACAGGGCATCTTCAGTCCCTGGAAGCTGTGTCATGTTCTCAGCACCAAGTCAAACCCATTTCCTGTGCAGGGGTCTCCTCATCACTAACTGATGTTTTCATGGACAGAATCTCAAAGACCACAAAAAGAGTAAATGGACTGCACTTGTATTAGCACCTTTCTACCCAACCAGGACACTCAAAGTGCTTCACACTACAGTCTGTGTCCTCATTTACCCATCCACACAGCACTCTATTAGGTCTCTACAAAGCTAACATGTACATTCATCTATGGTGACTAATCAGTGCCAATCACAGTCATACACTGATGGGACACATCAGAGGCATTGGGGTTAAGTATCTTACCCAAGGACACAACGGCGTGTGGGCATGGCGGGGAGTCAAACCTGTGACTTGCGGGTCCCAAAGCCGGCTGCTCTACCACTACACCACAGCCACCCCAAGGTCTCATACTACGTAAAGAACGTGGTTTTCCTGGGACTGGATCTAGACTATGTGTTCTTCACTGTGGATACAGAAAATCTGCCACACATTTTTCTACCTACACCAATCTGTTCCTTACAGCCTGTGTCCTCTGCTCCTGGGAGTGATAACCTCTACCATCCCGGTAGTACCAGTTGGTCTGCACATGAGAGACTTCCATCTCCAACTGACCAAGTGCCATTGAGACATTAGAAACTGAAACCTCCTGTAGTCCCACATAAATGATCTGGACCTCCTGACGGTGCTTCTCACCCTGAAAGACTTCCTCCCGGTTTTCAGAGAACATTATATTTGTGAGGATTGACAATCAGAGGATAGTGACTTGTTTGTCAAATGTTGGCTGTGTTCTTGTTGGTTATACATTTTGGCATTTGATCTGATTCTATGGAGCTGCTCATGTCTCCTGTCCTTCAGAGCGACTCACCATCCAGGTGCTCTGTACTTTGTGGGAGATATGATGCCCTGGGTCATCTAGTCGCCTTGGATTAGGTGTGAAACTACTTTGGTTGGACAACAGTGAATTAGTTTGCACAGTGTGAATGTGCAGTACTCAGTTTGTTTTTCAAAGCTCGATGTAGATGCACCTCTTGCCATGACTGCACTGACACACATTTGACCTCTTGTTTTCCTGTATACATTTCTCTTTTTAGCTCTGATAGACCCTACTTTGTCCAGAGCAAAGGAAAACCACCTCACACTGATCATGAGCTCTCCACTGATGCCAGCAATGACCTGGAGATGTCCCAGTTTCTGAGCTAACAGCTGTGGCAGCTCCTGTTCTTTAGATATATGTGGTCCCAGGGAGAATGGACTGAACTTTATTTGCACCCAGAGTATCCAGAACTTTGGCCTCTGAGTGTTATAATTTAGCTACTGTAAGCCTCTCACAGTATGTACAGTAAGACACCTACTGTATTAACTGCTAACCTACCTAACTGCTCCCTGGGTGCTTAAACAGCTGCCCACTGTATCTCACATAATGACTCAAGTGCAGAGCACAAATCTCATCATTGTATAGAAACATTGATGGAACAAAGCATATTATAACGATCAGAGAGCTATAACTCGCTCTGCTAGGTTCATCAATGGCTGTGTCCAAAACAGCAGGTCAGGTCCTTCGAAGGCCGAATTTGTTGGCCGCATACGTCACAGCGCCGCGACGAAGGCCGTCCAAAACTAAAGACTCCTCCGATGCGGCCGACAAATGCGTCCTTCCTTTGGCCCGAATCGAAGGACTGGTCTGATGGATCCTTCCCGGCCCAGCGTATCCCATAATGCATTGCGGCCCGACCTGAGCTTTTTTTATGCTAGTAATGACGGACGAAGTGAGAGAAGAGAATACGTTTTAAATAAAAATATGGCGATATAAAAATTAACATTTTTTAGCGGTTGTAATTCTAATTCTTTTATCATTTGTATAGACATGTTTTTAAATATTATTTTTGTCATAAGAAAAATGCAAAATAAACATGCACCTACGGCGGGTCACTTAGTTCCTCAAATGTTACCTTTAAGTTAATTTTATAGTTTTGTGATATTAATAATGCTAATATACTGATATTTTTCTAATTTTGATTTAAGTTTGCTTGTTTAGCATCGTCACAGTTGCTAGGTGACAGCACGTACGCCGAGGTAAGGACGGGAGGCTAGACCATCCAAATTCACAGCCTCTTTTTTTCTGGTCTTCCCGGTCTACCAAGGACCCGGCCCACCTCGACCGGGTAGTCTGGGTCCTCCGGAGGACCCGGCCTGTCGTTTTGGACACAGCCTATGATAGCTTTTTTAAATCACATCCATTTTCTTCAGTGGCCAGTGTTGAGCTGGCTGTGAAAGAGACTGGACAAGACAAACTGGTTTTAAAATGCAGATCATGTCTCCAGATGGAAAATATGACCTATGAAATGTCTTGATATATACAGTTTATTTACAGTTCCTTTAAATTCTTTTTATCTTAGGTTGAGGAGGTCAAAAAGATGAAGATTGGTGATCCATTGGACCGCTCCACAGACCATGGGCCCCAGAATCACAAAGCCCACTTGGACAAACTGGTGGAGTATTGTCAGATTGGTGTAAAAGAAGGAGCCACTCTAGTCTGTGGTGGCAAACAGGTGCAGCGTCCAGGTGAGGCAGCAGAAACCTGAACCTTCAGCCACTCAGGGGGAACCTTCAAGTATGACGGATGCTGTGAACTGGTTCTTGGTGATTTCTCACAGGAATCTGTTTTGTTGTACATTTGTCTCCAGGTTTCTTCTTTGAACCCACTGTTTTTACTGATGTCCAAGACCACATGTACATTGCCAAAGAAGAGTCATTCGGCCCAGTTATGATCATTTCCAAGTTTATGAGTGGGTAAGCTGAACCAAAGGTGCTTTGGATATGTAACATCTCACATTACTACGTCCTCAAGAGTGGGGCTGTGTATTGGCAAGAATTTGGCGATATGATACATATCATGACAGAGGGGTCACGATACGATATATCCCGATATATTGTGATACTGTAAGCAAGGTGATATATTGTGATATATTGGGATTTTTTTGTCCAAAAATTCTATTAAATAAAAACCTCTTACTGGAAAAAAAAGAAAAACCAAAATTCATTGTCTCAGAAAATTCTAATGTTGCATAGACATAATTTTGATACATTTAGCTGTGTTCTGCTTTGTATGTATTTTATTTTATTTGTTTCATATTTCTTATTTCATACGTTTTCAATTATTAGGCTAAAAAGGCTTCTTTCTGTTCTTTAATGTGCTCTGGTCTGGTTTCTAACTTCCTTCAGTGACCTGGATGATGTATTGAGGAGAGCCAATGCTACAGAGTATGGGCTGGCATCTGGTGTTTTCACACGAGACATCAGCAAAGCTCTGTATGTGAGTGACAGGCTCGACGCTGGTACTGTGTTTGTTAACACCTACAACAAAACGGATGTGGCTTCACCTTTCGGAGGCTTCAAGCAGTCTGGATTTGGCAAAGACCTGGGTGAGCCAAACATTTCAACTGCATTACAAATAATGTAAACTCTAAAAAAGATGCATCAAATATTAACATCATGCTTCTTATTCAAACTGGTCTAAGCTCCTAAGAGTAGAAATCAAAGTAACGTTGGTTACACATTGTACCCCCAGATTCTATGAGTATAAGCGTGGGGGATAAACCCACTAGCGATAGCCTTAAAGGGCGAAGCCTATACGAAATAGAACTTCAGGTTTTCAGTTTTCATACTTTATTAGTTTTATCACATCTTCATTATTCATCTTTTGATAAGTCATGTATGGTGTATTGGGTTTTGTTAAAACTAAAATGACAAACATCTATACTGTTGGACCTAAAGTTGACTAAAAGTGCAGCAAGCAGGCTAAAGCATTAACATCTGCAGTTAGTGTTAATGCCGTGTCTCCTGTGGGTTGCTACAGTTAGTGACTGTACGGCTCACCCACAGGTGATGTAAATATCAATACATTCAATTAAATTAAATAACCACCTTCCAACCAGTACGACAACTGTTCTGCTGTGGCGAAAATGACACACATGGTCACATGTAAACAGCTGAAGGGGTTCACATGATTCACTTAAAAAAGAAGAAAAAGTCTCATATGAAAATGGCTTCAAAAAAATGTCTTGCCATTACAATTAATGCGTCATTTAAGCTGATTTGTAGTTCGAGATCTTGAGATTTTTATTGTAGTGTTAAACATCATTAACAACCAATTTAAATTATATTGTTAATCTACATTATTACATTGAAAATTATAATTCCATTTCAAATAGAATAGCCTATTGTCAACATGACAAAGGGTGGGGGG